CGCTATGCAAGTGAAGCACAGGCAGGCGGGCTCTGCTCAGACGTCGGGGTCTGGAGTCTTGGCACTGCTCAAAGCTCGGAAAACACCAGTGGGACATGGAGTGAGCCGCGTCCAACGATTAATTCTGCCTGAGGAGGAAACTAGGAGATTAGACGGGTGAGTGAGGCCGAGGGCCGGCTGGCATGCCCCCAGGATGGCGTGGCCCCAGGCTGGTGTGGTCCCAGGATGGTGTGGCCCAGGGCTGGTGTGGCCCCAGGATGGCGTGGCCCCAGCCTCACCAACCAGTTGGGGAGGGCCACCTGGGACCCAAGCCCCAAGGAAGCCTAGGGATGAGGAGGGCCGGGCCACCTCTCCAGCACGCGGGGATGCCACGTGTCCTTAGAAGGGACAGAGGCTAAGCTCCCGGGCTCCCTCGCCTACTGTTGGGGGGTACCAGTTTCCCCGTGGCGTCTCCTCAGCCGCCAGGGCAGGAGGCGCTTGTGCTGCTGCAGGCCATCAGTCGGTTACCTCAGCTCTTCACCCACTGGCCGTCGCCCCGTAGCAGGTCCTCGACACACTGAGGCCCAGCGACAACCCGCAGACCCTTTGGCCTGCCAGCGTCCTGCCAGCTCTGCCCCACCGGGTCTGGCTCAGGTGGCAAAGACGCAACTTCCCCTCCCCAGGGAAAGGGAGCCGTGGCCTGAGTGACACGCATTCACATGCCGGACGCCGACAGTGCTGTGGAAGGTCCTGCAAGAAGACGGCCAAGGCTGGGGCAGCTCGTAGGCCTGGCTCCCTCGCCGAGAGGTCTCTCGCTCCCTCGCCGAGAGGTCTCTGTGGCTGTATGGGGCCCACAGAGATACACAGGCGGCCAGCAGCTGATGGGGTTTGGGGTCGGTTTAACCTTCGGGGCATTTGCGTGAAGACGCGTGGGCAACGGCAGTGCTGGGGCTTAGGAGCCGCTGAGGAGCGCGCACTGCCTGTGGGTGGCCAATCGTGCCGGGAGCGGGCCAAAGACCCTTCGTTTAACTCGGGGTCCCAGGGAGCGTCGGCCTCTGAGGAACTGTGCCCTCCCCCCACGAGCGGCTCGGCGTTTCCTTTTCCAAGACTCTGGTGCTTCTATTTAATCATTTTTCCTTAAACTTTTACAAGAATGAAATCTTAATGAAAAATATCGAAACGAATTATGCTTCTGTGCAGACAGCAGTGGCTCACACTCAGCCTCACAGATGCCGTGAAGTCGACTCCGATGGGCGGTCTCCGGGGCCCTTGTGCCACTGTCACCGCTGACGTCCCAGAAATCAATTCTTCAGAAGTTCTCTAGTGGGTGGGAACCAGCGTAATGGCTATGTCGCTGGACTCCCACGTAGTCAACCGCGGTTCGCGTCCCGGACCCAGTGGCTTAAAACTCACACCGGGTGCGTGTGCGTGCATGCCCAAGTTCCCGAGAGGAGAATGGAGGAGAAGGGATTGCGGTGTGGCCATCCCCCCTGGGGGGTGATTTCTCGCTTTCTGTCTGTCTCTCTCTGTCTGTCTGGTGAGCACACGCGGCCTATAGTGAGAAACCTCTCCAAAAAAAAAAAAGTTCTCTTGTGGGCTGGCTCAGCCTAGTGGACAGGTTAAGGGAGCCTGCCTGGCAGACATTTGAATTCTATCCTGATAGCTTAAAGAACATACCATGCACATGTGTGTGCCCAAGTCCCGGCAGGACAGAGAAATGGATGGTAGTGATAGTGGTGTGACCACAGCCTGGGTGCTTCCTCCCTCCCCTCATCTCTCTCTGCCTCCCCTCTGAGCGCACACTCTCTCTCACAATTAAAAATTTTAAAACCCTCTCTTTTCCTGTGTCCAGAGAAAATGAGGCTCTCACCCCCGAGAGCCACACTGAGACCTCCAGGGCCAGGAAGTCGCGGGCCTCCCCCGTGAAGCAGGACAGGGGGAGCGCATGGTTTTCTTAGGAAGAGCCGCACGTCCAGGCACTGGTCGTCCCAGTACATGGGTGTCAAGGCTCCTGGAAGGCAGAACAAGAGCACAAGTCCACTTCGGCCGGGGCCAGTGTGACCCTGCACAGCACTGTCTGTTTTTTAGAGAGACATTCTTGCTATAGAGCGCATGCGCTCACCAAAGAGACAAGAGACAAACAGAGAGACAGAAAGCAAGAAATCACCAAGGGATTGCGGGTGGCCACGCCGCAATCCCTTCTCCTCCATTCTCCTCTTGGGATCTTGGGCACGCACGCACATGCACCTGGCATGAGTTTTAAGCCTCCGGGTCTGGGACTTGAACTGTGGATGAGTTCAAGTGGGAGTCCAGCAATGTAACCATTATACCATCTGCTGGTCCCAGAGTTTTCATAATGTACCACTCCGTGATCTTTTCGAACACCCCACGTATGTTCTCAACGTCTTGTTCTCGGCCCTGTCCACAGGAGACACGGCCTCTTGTCCAAGAAGTGTGACTAGACACAATCAGAACACGCTTGGAAAACGTCAACTGAAGTTCTCAATTTATTTGATCAAGCTGGCCCCAAAGGCGTGTCTGGGTGAAAACACAGGGGCAGATGAGTAAGAGGCAGAGTGGCGTCCGCGGGTGGGGGTGACGGCTTGCCCTGCGAGTGCTCGCTCCCAGCTAACGCGCGAGTGCTGAGAGGACCGGTTTCCTGGGCAGTGTCTGGGGCTCACTCAGTCATGTCCCGGGGGACGCCGGTATAGGAAGCTCCCTCTCCTCCACAGCCTTAGTGGGTAAGGGACTGGTCCAGTTCGTCACCAGGCGTCCCGTGACCCGCCCGCTCCTCTGCGGTGCCTGGAGCCCGTCCGTCCATGCCCAGCCCCTCCCTCTCGGTCCAGTTACCCAGAGCTCCAGGGCCCGTGCCAGGGCGGCCATCAGGAGGGGCTCCGAGGGCCCACAGACCCCGCCAGCCCAGTCACCAGCTCGCATGTTGCTGCAGGTTGACCTGTCAGCTCCACTGGTCCTGGAGGAGTGGTTCCAGGCACTGGGGACTCCCGCATGTCAGAGGCGTGCACCTCAATGGATGTTCAGGGGCGACCTGCCGGATCCCGTCAGACAGCCCAGAGCGCCAAGGTCGCCTCCCGGGCTCCCTCCCGAGGGACACCGAAGGGCAGATGCAAACCCAGGCGCGACATCTGTCGTGCCCCGATGCCCAGAGCACGCACCACACTGGCTGGCTTCCAGCCCCCCGCTGCTGTCCACTCCTCCACACGGTAACAGAAGCCCAGCCGCCGGCAAGGGAGCGCTGTGAACGGGCTGCACCGGGGTGCAGACCGACCGCGAGCTGGGCGCTGCCCGAGGACAGAGGCTCTGACACCATGGACCCAGCAGATTCGCCGCCTGGTGACACGGAACCTGGAGGTGTGACGATCCCACCCCATCTGGGGTGACCGAGGCCCCCGGAGGCAAAACGCACGGCTTGTCTGTGAGCCGGCCATGGGGAGACGGAGGAAGAAGAGGGTGAGGACGTTAGTTAAACCGTTTAATCAGAGCCGGTTTACAATTCCGAAATTAACAAGCAGACTGATAAGAAAAGAGCTCTGATTTCGTGAAACAACCTGGCTCCCATTCTGCACCGTCAACGTTACTCTTAGAAGGACCCGGAAGGGAGCACGAGGGACTCGGGTCAACATCCGTGTGTTCTGGTGCAGCCGACGAAATCCCTGAATGGCTATTGCTTCAGCGTTGAGATTCGAAATGGCCTGACGAGAAGTCCTCCCCGACAGCCGCGGCAGAGCCGGGAGGAAGAGCCGAGCGCCGTGAGCGCATACGGGACCGCGGTCGGTCGTGACGCCGGCTCCGAATGTGCCACCGAGTCCACGACTCTCACTGTGGGGGTCACTGAGCGCTCGCGGCGCCGCTCCTGTCTGGAGTAACCGTGTTCACTCGCACAGCAGACATGCAGGGGTGATGTGTGGAGGTGCGGCTTGCAGACGGGTTTTCAGACAAGGATCTCATGAAGCTGCGTGCTGCAGCGGGTGTTACCCACGAGAGCAGGAGGGCCCAGGGCGGGCCGCAGGTGAGACAGGAGCTGCCCACTCCATCCTGAGACACCCCGGCCACTTCCGGGGCGGCGCACGGCAACCCCGCCCTCACCAAAGAAAACAACACAGGCAGAACTCACAAAGCAACCTAAGAAAAACGGGGCGTCAGGGGGCTGGGACGCCCTCATGCACGGATCTTCTGCATAGCTCAACCCGCGTCCAGTAAGGCACTGTTTCCTTCGCCGGCTCCAGGGCACCGCGGTTGCGGCAGTGCGCTCGGTCGACGCTCCTTCCAAGGGTGACACCAGGAGGCCGGGGGTGTGGCCCCGTGACCTACAGAGACTCCCAGGAGTCCCCCAGCACGTGTGTGTGTGCGTGTGTGCGTGTGCGCGTGTGTACGTGCGGTAGAGGCCAGAACAGTCCTCTCCCCGGAGTCCCTAGGTGTGTGACGTTAGCTCGTTCTCCAATCTGTTCTACGAGAACACAGGGACGCAGTCAGGTCTTCACGAACAGCTCGGCGCGCCCGGGAAGCTCACTGGGTGGTGAGTCCCACGAACAGCAGGTGTTTCCGAGAGAGGTGGGGTGGGGGGTTGAGAGGTGGGGGTCCGAGTTTAGTTGAGCTGGTCTTCGTACTGCTTCCGGAAGCAGTCCCCCGCAGGGAAGAACTCCCAGCACCTCTCCTGGTACATCTTCCAGACGTAGGACTCCTGTGGGACAAGGGCTGCGTTAGGCCCGTCCGTGCCGGCACGGACCGTGACAGTGGCTCCCTGGGACGCACGGCACGTGGCCAGGGCCCACACTCACCGGGATGGTCTCTAGCCCGCTGCGCCAGACCCTCACACTCTAGCCCAACCACCAGGCCTCTTGACCGCCATGGTGACAAAAACAGACCGGGGCAGAAGCTCGGAAGGGTTCCAAGACGGCATTCCCGTTAGCCGCCTCCTTCCTCCAGTCAAGCGTTTGGCCAGCAGGTTCAGGTGAGCAGTGGCCGAAGAGTTCCAGGTGGTCTACAAGCCCGACATTCGGGTGCGGCTCTGCGCGCGGACCACGGGCAGTGACCTGAAGTTCACCTCAAGCCGTCAGCCACCCGGTAGACAATGGGGGGACGACATATTCAGAACACTCGGTTTCCCTATGGAGAGTGAGTCCCGACCCGCCCGGCCAGTAAATGAAAGCTCATACTGTACAAGAGTTCAGAAATCTACTTTCTAAACCAAGTCGACCTTCCCACATCCGTCTGCGGCAGGGAAGACAGGTCGAGAGGGACCGCCGCGGGCGAGGAGGGTCCCACGCATTCACTGTCACCCACCTGTCCCGTGTGCTCTGTCTCATCCTTGTTTATCAGGTACATCAGGAAAAACCTGCAGACAGAGAGGCTGCTCAGTGAGGCGGTGTGAGTGGGACGCGCTGTCACACGCTCGGCCCCACGGTCACGGTGCACACGGGGAAGCACAGTGACCCGTGTGGGAGTCTCAGAGCGCCCGGGAGAGGGGAGCGAGCTTCTGACTCGACATTTCTGCTGTGATGCAGGAGTCCGCCCTTGAAGCGCTCGGCGGCCGGTGGGGAATGTGCACACTTGTCAGAAATGACCAGCGCTGACGGGGCTGTACCGAGACCGGCTCTGAGAAGCCCGAACGGCTGGGCAGCCCAGCGGAGTACACGCCACTCTGCCCTACTAGTCTGCAGCGCTCTTATGTTAACATGTTAAAGTTGAGTCAGAAATTAAGAAGAGCATTTTACCAAACTGTACTTCGGGCTAGTCCCAAGGAATGGCCAAGTTTCTGTTCTTTTTTTTTTTTAAGAGGTTTTTGCCTTAGTCATGTGCTCACTGGAGAAAGAAGAGACAGACTATCAGC